GCTCAAATGAAAACGGGATCCGAGCGGGAAAGCCAACTGGGCCGGAAGGAGAAACCCTGCAGCCCAGCACCCAACGACGGGATCGCCTGACAGGCCCCTCTTCTGCCCGGGGTGGGTGGGGGTGGAGGCAGGGCTCTCCCAGCAGGAGCCAACCACACCCATCCCAGGAGCCCAGAAGCAAGGGGTAGACCCCACTCCAGGCCACAGCCTCCCCCCGGCTTCTCCCACTCAAGAAAATGTTTCCCCTGTTTCAGAGAAAAGTAGGTAGAAACCCTGGCCCTGGGTCAGCAGCCCCACCCCCACCACCAGAATCAGCCCACACAGCCTTGGCCGAAGAGGTCAGCAGGTCAGGTAGGAAACTGGGCAGTGAGCCACGTCGAGCCCAGAGCTCTTCATGTGGCAGGCACTCAGTACATGTGGGCTGAAGAAGATGAAATGAACAGGCTGCCCAGAAAACACAGGGCTGCTGCCCAGAGGGAAACCCGACGTCCTGGGTCAGGCTCCGATCGCCCGCCCCCACCGCAGGAATATGAAGGGCTGTAGGCATCTCATCCAGGCTGTGTCTACGCCGACCTGAAACAGGCCTCGGCTTCTCTGGAGAGGAAGCCTGCAGCCCACCTCTCACGGGGTGCTGCATCCAAGGTCCTTGGCCACGCTGGGGCCCGCTCCAAGGACGGTTGAGAAGAGTGAAGTATCCGCCACCAAGAGGTGGGCGGGCCCAAGAGTTTTGTACAGAAAGCCTCCTCCAGGAAGCCCCCATGACCACTGTGATGCTGAGCCTTTGCCCTCTGTGACAACCCCAAAGGACTGACCCCAGGACCCAGGATCCCCCTCCTCCAGGTCTCAGCACTCCGGCCAGACGGGAGAGCCCTCCCGGGGTCCCCTCCAGAGTCACCACAGAGCCCAGAGCCCACAGGTCCCAGCCAGCTGCGGCAGGGACCACCCACATGGAGCCCCAGGCAGGATGACGGCGCAGGAGCTTGAGGCAGGAGAGCCCCGGCTCTGCCACAAACCAGCTCTGGGACCCTGGGAGGAGACTGCCTCCCCGGGCAGGTCCGCCTCCTCAGTAAATTCAAGATAACCTGGCTGTCTTAGCAGCCTAGAAGGATGCTTGGCAGGACAGAAGCCCTGATGACAAACAGCCCTCCTTGCCCCCAGGAGCCCTCCCGAGGACAATGGCTCAAAGGCAGCCCTGGGCTCCTACAGCCTTAGGATTTAGAGGGGTCCGACAAACAGCCACCGTCCGGGCACCGAGCAGGCAGACCTGGGCCCCTGCCCTGGTCACCCAGAGTCCCTCAGTCTCTCTCTCTCTCTCTCTGCCGCATGCATGGGACCTCAGGTCTCCAGCAGCTCTCCCCGCGGAGCCTCTGGAAGACCCTGCCTGGCAGGCCAGACGCCAGCCCATGGCGCCAGGACAGGACAGACCGGAAGGCGTCAGCGCGTGCAGGGTTAGAAGCCAGTGTCACCTGATTTCGGAGCAGGTTAGTTTGAGCTACGAGATGAGCCTGCAGTTTGCCTTGGCACCACTGGGGGGCGGCTTTCTCAAGCAGCGAGACAGGCTGGGGTAGGGGTCAAGGCCGGGGAGGGCGGGACAGAGGGAGACGGGAGAGAGAAACAGAGACACAGAGGTTAACACACATCCACACGCCCCGCGGGCCGCGTCCAGCCAGCCCGCCCCCTCGTGCAGGGGCCCGGGAGGCTGCCCGGAGGCCGCCCAGGCCGCCTCTGGCCAAAAGACTCAGGGAGCGGAGGGGCGGGGGGAGTGAACTCCAGCTGCAACGCAAATGTAAGTGTGAGCAGGGCCAAGGCTCGCAAGCAGGTCCTCCCGGAGGGGCCCGCCCCGCGCCCACCGGCTTCCCAGGTCCTGAGCCAGAATCCCACTCAGAGCTCGCCAGGCCGGGCGGCACCGTCCAGGAAAACCTCGGCCAGGCCGTGCTCCTCTGAAAGTGGCCTCCGTGGGAGCCAAGGGCCGGAGAAGGGGGGGTTGGAGACCGGCTGGAGCAGCCCCCCGGCACTCCCCAGCCGGGCCCAGCACCAACCCCGCCCAGGTCAGCCACCTGGACCGGCGGGGGGGAGACTGGGGGGGGGCGTGAGAAGCTCGGACCCTCCCCCTCAGCCCCTGGCCCGCCTCCAGCCCCTACCTTGGCAATTTTGACTTCATCCTTCTTTTTGGCGGTCTGCAGGGACTCGTAATGGTGCCGGGCACTGTCGTAATCCACCAGCTTGCGCCCCCGCTTGGCGATGCGTGACTGGGGGCAGACAGGAGGGGGCTGAGACGCCGCACCAGGAGGGGCCAGAGCGGCCGGCCAGGGCAGGGCCTGGACGGACGCAGGGCTGGGCAGGACACCCAGCGCCACAAGTCCATCCACGACACGCTCAAGCCCTCGCTGCTCGAACACTGCCGGTGGCAAGGAGCTCACCCCCAGGCAGTCTGCCCCACCGTGTCAGACTGTCTCCCTGCAACATAAGCCCCTTGTCATCGCCTGTCAGTACTGTCAGCCGAGTCTCTTCCTTGGCTGGCCTCTGGCTTCTCCCCGGAGCCACCATCCTCAGCCCCAAAGAGCTTGAGGCATCCGCATGGGGGTCCCCAAGGCCAGCTGGGCAAGACACCCCCCTCACCCACCGAGACGATCAGTTCCAACACGACAGCCACCCTCCTGTGCTCCAGACGCCTGGGCTTCCATGAACACAGCACCCAGGGGCTTTTGCCCCAGTGGAGACCCTGGGGGCCATGGCGTGCCGACAGCGTGTACCCAGGCCTGGCAGAGCCAGCGGGTTTCGTGAGCACACACAGTCACACAAACGACAACACACAGACCCAGATGCAGGTGACAGGCACAGCCACGTACACACACATTCCAAGCACACACAGAAAACACAGGGAACCCGTAGGCACACACTGGGCCCCCCACCTCCACGCACCTCACAGACACATGGCCACTCCACGGCGCCCCAGCCACCCATCCACGCGTGTGCACACACACACACACACATCCACACCATGAGCGCACCTCCCACAGCCCTGAGGCCCAAGGGTTCAGAAAGGCCCAGGCCTGGGGAGCTGGGGGCCGTGGGCTGGCGCAGAGGGAGCAGCCCTGAAGGATGAGACGCCAGGCCGAGGGCCCAGGGCAGCCACCTCCGTCCGAACCCGCCTGGGCCGCCCTGGGCCCTCCCGTCCTCCACTCCTCGCCATGGGCAGCAGCGGGGCAGGTCCGCCCTGGGCCCTCACCTTGATGTCCGGGAACTGGCCCAGATATGTGTCCATGGTCAGCAGCGCCTGGTCCACCAGCTTCTGGTGGTAGTCCATCCACAGCAGATCGTTGTTCTGGATGGCAAGGGCACAGGGTGCCACCAGGGGCTCTGGCCACACAGCCCCCGTGCTCACACGGACCCCAGGGCCCGCAGGTCACCCCCGCCCCACCACCTCACAGCTGGCTGGCTTCTCAGAGCCTCCGTTTTCCCGTCTGTGGAACGGGGGCAACGGCTCCCGCCCTGTGGCCGCCCATGAGGCGCCGGTGAGGGTGAGACCTGCTGAGGACAGGGTCAGCGCCGGAGGCTTGTGAGGGAGGAGCCTCCCGCAGGTGGGGATGGCCACGGTCCTGACGCAAGGGCGCCAGGAGAAGAGGGGCCCTCAGAGAGGGAAGGCCGCTCGCCCAAGGGCACACAGCCCACGCGTACGGAGACCAGCGGGGCTGGCCCCGGAAGGGAGGCACAGGGGGGCCCTGGAAGGGAGGCACAGGGGCCAGGAGCTGAGGCCAGAGGGAGGGGCCGGGCCACACACCCACGCTCACCTCCGCGATCTTGTTCGCCTCGTCCCGGCCGGGCCAGTCGGGCTCATAGACCTCCTGCAGACACTCGTTCAGCTTCTTGGAGGCCTCGTGCATGGCTGGGGCGCAGGAAGGAGGCACGTGGGGCTCCCGCTGGCAGCCCCGGCTCCGCCCCCGCTCGGCCCCGGCTACCCCTTACCTTTGACGGATGCCAAGTAGGTCCGGAGATCCTTCTGCAGCCGGGTGCCCTCGGTCTGCAGAGAGAACCAGGACCAGTCAGGCCCTCGACCCTCTCCCCCTTGCCACTCCAGTACGCACCCCAGGCCGCTCTTCTGACGGCAACCACCAACCTGCCAGCCTCCCAACGGGCAGCACGGGACGACGCAGCGACTGAATGACGCACACACAGCATGGCACTCACGTCACCCTGAGTAAGTTAGGGGACCTCTGTGCCTCGGCTTCCCGTCACCTGGGGCGAAGGGTCCCCACCTGGCACTCCACAGTGCTCAGGTAACGGCTCCAGTGGGCCAGTCCGGACACCAAAGCCTCGAAGACCAACCTTGGCGCCACCGGAGCCTCGAAGCCAACCAGGAGGAGGCTTCTTGCCAGGACAGAGATGGGAGGCAGAGGGGACTGGCCTGCACAGGGAAAGGGCCCCCTCCCAGCTGCCCTAGGCCTCAGAGACCCCGCCCCGCAGGAGGGGCTAGGGGAGCACGGCAGCTGTCCATCCCAGAAGGCCCGGCAGCCTGCAGACGCCAGCCTGGCCATGGCCGGGCTCCCGGGAGCCAGGACATGAGCCCCTCTGCGCAGCTCAATCTCCAGTGAGGACCAGCAGGGGCCCAGCCGCCCTCACAGGCTCAGCCCGATGCAGCCCCCATAGTCCCCTCAGCGAAACCTGCCCTTCCTCCCTGTTGCCCTCTCTCCCAGGCCAGCGTCCTCCCTGCACTGGCTTCTCAACAGCACAGCCCACCCGAGAGCCAGGAGGAGGGGGAGGGCCTACACACGACAGCGAGGCGTCCGGCAGGGAGGGCTCAAGAGTGAGTGCGTGATGGTGCTTTCTCATAAAAAGAGGACACGTGAAGGAACGAACCCTCTCCGGAATCGTGGGCAGCCCTGGCCTCGACATTGGTGTTCGGGCTCACAGATGAAAGCCTGAGAGAAGCAGAGCCGGCCCGCCGCGCCCAGGCCTCTCTGGGACTCCGCCAGGGACGGATGTGGACCCAGCGGGATGAAGGAGCGAGGCGGACCCGCCGTACCCTGCTCCCAGCATGGCCACCCAGTCTTCGCCATCAAGCGGTTTGTTGACGAGGATTCAAGCGTGCTCGTGGTGTCATGGGACCTCCCAGACCAGCTCTGTTCCTGCCCAGCCTCCACCATCCCAGCCGTGCCGCTCACCCCTGCCAGCAAGGGGTCCCGCGGGTGCCTTCCGTGCTCACCCCGGCTTCAGGCCGTACCAGCGGCCCTTGTGCTTCCGAACAACACTGGGCTGTGAGCAGGCACACGGCGCCAAGACGTGCCAGGACACAGGCTCCACCTCCCAGCGGCCCTGCGGCCGGCACCCGACACCCCCTGCCTTCCAGCCCCTCCAGGGCTCATCCTGCCGCCTGCTGGGCAGTGCCCGGCCCGCAAGAGCTGCATGTGTTGGCTTCCACGCCTGCTCCCTCAGCCCCTAAGCAGGGTGTCCGAGGAACGATTACTTGGAGGGTCCTGGGTTCCAGCCGCCCTCTTCGCAGAGCCCAGCTGGGGGGACGGGATTCTGGTGCTGCTGCCACCCCGGGCCTGGGAGTCAGGGAGGGCCAGGAGCAGCTCCCACAGGGCTGTGCTCCCGTCCCCAGCGCCTGCGGCACTGTCCGCGAGGGCAGCGGCCACCTCAGCTTGAAGACGCAGCCTCCGGGCTCCTGGTAGGCCCAGGGACAGGGACGCCTGCCACACGGACCCTCTTCAGGCTCCAGCTCTGACTCCTGCCGCCCAGGAACCGGTGCTGGGGACCCATCACTCAACAGCCAGGGATGCCCACGTAGAGCAGAGCCCTGCGTGGGCGCTGGAGACGAGAGGCACTCGAACCCACCCCGCCTCAGTGACAGGCAAACACGACAAGCCCGGGATCCAAAAAGCCACAGGTGGCCTCGAGGAGGAAAAGACCAGGACAGCTTCCAGCAGGCCAGGGCTCGGAGTTCGGGGCAGAGGGCTGGGGGGAAGGGTCTCCGGGCTCTCTGTGCGGGGGTGGAGGGCAAGGGGCTGCCTGCGACCAGCGCCTGGGGCTGTGCACCTGGGCGAGGCGACGACCGGTGGCAGCAGGTGACAGACACCCTCTCCGAGCACCGCAGCAAGGGCCAGGCGGCAGACTCGCCTCCTCGAGCCATGTCCCACCAGCCACGTCCTCCCAGGGCGGGGTCCACCGCACACGGGCCTCGCAGAGACGCAGGGCTTCGAAAGCTCAGCCTCCATCTCGTCTTTCCCGGCCCCCCCACGCCACTGCAGCTCCTGACTCCCCCCTTCCTTCCAACACACACCCCCACCCTCTAGTCAAACCGAGGACTGCCAGGCTGCCCGCGTCCAGCCTTGAACGAGACCTTAAAACCCCCACCTGATCCCCCTGGTCCCCAAAACCAGTCACCACCAAACCGGAGGGCAAAGAGCTCTGCTCAGGTACCTGGAACCTCCGCCCCAGCCGCCGCCACCCCCGGCCTCTCTGCCCAGGAGCTAGAGCCAGAGGCGGCTCAAGGGCAGCGGGATGGCAACCCACGGGTCCCGCCAGGGCCCGGCCGCAGAGAACCTTGGCACCCAGACCTTCTTCCACACCCTCCGCCGGTGGCCGGGCCTGCTCTGGGGATCCCCTGCCGCCCACCCGGAGTTGCAGCTCAGAGGCACCCCAAGCTCTCCTTGGCCCCGCAGGTGCCCTCGGGACAGGGGTCAGCACCATAGAGGAGCTTGCGAGTGGGCCGAGGGCCCCGAGGCCTGGAGCTGAGTCCTCGCGCTCCCCGCCAGCTGTGCAGCCTGAAGCTCTGCTCACCCCCTGAGCCTCCAGGGCCTCACCCGCCCCACGAAGCCAAGACCAGCCCCTTTCGCGACCTGCCGTGATGTGTCTGCAGAACACAGAGCAGCCCTGGCCCGCGGTGAGCGCCCAGCAACGGCCCTGTCCTGAGCCGCGTTCGAGCAGCCCTGCAGAGGTAGGACACGCTCCAGGGCTTCCAGGAGGCGGAATCGGAAGCTTTGAGTCGGGTTTCTTGCTCTAGCCTACGTTTTGCCGGGGAGGGGGCCGAGGGCCAGGAGCAGGGCTTGCCCGGGGTCCCACGGGCGGGCAAAGTCCCTGTCACGGGGCCTACCTGGGCCTTGAAACATCCGCCTTGTTGGCCCGCTCGGGGGAGTCTCCGGGCGGGGCACCCTGGTGGGCCAGAGTCCCCTTGGCCCTGGGGCCTCACTGAGGATGCCCCCAGCGCTGTCCTGGCATGCTCCACAGGCCTCTTCCAGAACGCTCGAGCCCTCTCCCGGAACGTCCCCAGGCCCCTCCCAGGAAATTCCATGTCCCCCCCCCAGAACACTCCACGGCTCTCTCCCAGAATACCTCCCTAACCCTCTCCCAGAATGATCCATGGCCTTCCCAGAATTCTCCGTGAACCTTTCCCAAAATGTTCCCACCCCATCCTAGAACACCCCCCGCCTTCTCCCAAAAGCCCCAGCCCTGTCCCAGAACTTTCCCAGCCCCTCCCAGAATGCGCCATAGCTCTCCCAGAATTCCCTCAGCCCCCTCCCAGAACGGCCGTCATCTCCGGGATGCCCGCAGAGCCCTCCCGAAACGCGCCATGCCTAGCTCCCAGAATTCGCCCAGATCGCTCCCAGAGTGCCCCCACCCCGCGCCCGGGATGACGCAGGCCCCTTCCAGGACAGCCAGGCCTTGCCCCAGCGAGACCGCCCTGGCCTCACTTCTCCGCCAGTCCCCGGCCCGAGGCCGTGGCCTCTGGCCTGCATCCCCAGCTGTCACTCTGGGGCTGGCGCAGGGGAGCAGGGGACCTGGCCCAGGCCTGAGGCTGCGGCGGCAGGGGCGCACCCCAGGGAGCAAGGACTGCGGGGCTGTCTCACTCCCCACTTCTGCCGCCCACAGCCGCGGCGTGTCCTGGAGTCAGCACGTCTCTGGGGAAAGTGGCAGGGGCGGCCCATCCAGAGCATTTATGGCCCTTGGGGGGACGTCCTCCTTGTGTCTAACCACTGCCCCCGGACCATCAGCACGGATACGTGTCTTCCGTCACTGGCCTCTGGCTACAGCGGGCCTCGTGAGGATGCCCTGAAGTCCCACCCGGGTTCTGGAACGAAACACTGTGGGTCTGAATCCATTCCCCAAAGCGGGCTGGTCTCGGGCACTTCTCTGAGCCTCATCTGCTCCACCACAAACGGGGAGCGGTGGCATCGGACACCCTGCAGGGTGCTCGGGAGGTGGCCACGAGCCGTCTGCGAAAGGCTCCCTCGGGCCCTGCCACGGAGCCGGGCACGTGCCAGGCCCAGCAGAGGCCCAAGGCAGACCCAGCCTGCTCTGCCCCGCACGGAGCCTGCAGGCGCCGCTCCCCTGGAAAGAAGTTGCCATGACTCCTCTTGCCTCGACAAGCAAGGGCTCACAGAGTCTGGCCACCATCTAGTGCCTGCTCCCACCCTTCCGCCCCCACCACCCCTTCTTTGTCTGTCACCAATGCCCTGAAGTAGGCACAGCCCTCTTCTCTCCTGGCGTCCAAGGCCGTGTCCCTGCTCCCTCTTCCAGGAAGTCTTCCGGACCACGCCAGCCCACACTGATCTCCCTCCCGCCAGCCCTCCTGCTCCACACATTCGGCTCTTGCCGTCTCCCACCCAGCCGCCAAGTTTCCCGGGCTCCCCGAGGCCAAGGGCCGGCACACTCACCAGCTGCTTGTTGAAATTCTGCACGCACTGCTCAAACTGCTCGTCCTTTGTCTCGTCCGCCTTCCCCAGCTTCTGGAGGACCTGCCGAGGCCGGGACAGAAGGGCAGAGCGTCACCTGGGGAAGGAGCCCGTCCGAGCCAAGAGCCACCCACGGCACAGACCAGGACCTGGGAGGCCCGCGCCGGCGTCCCCCAGCCCACGGGACCCACGGGGCCCTCCCGGCTGCTGTGGCCCCCTGGCACCACTGGGTCCAGCAGGTCTCCAGGCCTCACCACCCTCCACCCCGGGCTCAGCTGTCAGCCCAGAGCAGGCGTTTAAGACAGGCCTGCCGGAGAGACCGAAGCCAGGAGAAGCCAGGCCTCGAAGTTGGCGGGAGGGCCCGGGCGCCCCCCCTTGCTGGCCTGACACCGCACCCCTGGGTGCCCACCCCGCCCCTGCTGGCTGAAAAGTGAGCTGGGCCGGAGAAGGGCCAAGTAGGGACGCCCCCTCCCACCCTATGGCGGCCTCTTCCAGGACCGAGGCCCATGAACCAGCACAAGGAGGAGCAGAGCAGGCCGTGGGCGGGCGGGTGACCAGCCCGGGATGAGAGGACAGTGAGGGCGGCCGCGGTCTGGCCAGGAGTCAGCTCCCGCCGGACTAGGGGTTTCGCCGTGACCGGCCCCAGCCGCCCGCCGCATTCTCCACCGCCAGCAGGGCAGGCCGGGCCCGCCTTGGCCCTCACACACCCCTGCAGGCACACACATGCACACAGGCACGCACACACGTGCGCACACACGGAGGTGCACACACACGGGCTCACGGCCACACGCTCCGCTTCCAGCTGGAATTCTCAGAAGCTCCCCCTAAGTCTGAGTCCCAGCCGTCCCTCCTCAGCTGTGTCAGGGAGGGGGACAGGGCTGGGGGGCGGAGACCCGGCCAGAGAGGACGGGTGGGCAGGCGGAGGAGGGAGCTGGGCCAGGAGCCAGAGGAAGTCCCAGCCAGGAGGAGGAGCCCACTGGCCAGGCCCCCCAGTCGCCCTCTTGCCCTCTCCTGCCAGCTCACTACATCCCGAGCCCCTGGGGGGGCGGGGGCGGGGCAGGCAGAAG